TTTAGCCTCCCTTCTTATTTGGCATTATGGCATCCAAATTGTCAGTGATTTCCTATAATGTTCATGGCATATGTTCACCTCCTAAACTTGGAAGATTGTGGCAAGAACTCCGTCGCCTGAATCCAACTGTTCTACTCCTCTAGGAGACCCACTTCACATTGAATTCCACACCTAACTTCCAACAGTGCATTTAATCAATTATTCTTGTGTCCATCTCCCAATTCTAAAGTGAGGGCGTGACGATAGCCATCCACAACTCGTGCCCTTTTGTCGGCTTACCCATGTTGCCGACCAAGAGGACAGATATCGATTTCTCAAGGGCACTATTAATAATGAGACATATACTATAGCCAACATTTACATGCCTAATACTCGCACGATTGATTTCCTCTCCACGGTAATGAAAAGACCTCTTGACTTTAAGAAAGGCCTCCTCTTGCTTGGGGGAGACTTTAACCTCCCTCCTGACCCTCAATTGAACACCTCGACAGGGAAGTAGTTATTATTATTTCCTATTTGCAGATTTATCGTCTCTATATAGACCAATATTACCTCCGCAGGCTTAGCAGCAGGGACATTGGACCAATAACTATAACTAACGCCTTGGTCTCTTTAACTTTGACTCTATACGCTACACATAGACCTGCTTGGACCTGACGCTTGAACAAATCCCTATTAGATGATGATGGCATTGAATCCTCCGTCGACATATATTTTCAATTAAATTCCACTTATGAGGTGTCTACGTGAGCACTATAGGAGGGACAAAAAGCGGTGATAGGGGGAGTCTTGATTGCCCTTGGTTCTAGACACATAAAAGTTAGCTTACAACCATCTGACTTGACGCAGTTGACAGAATTGCTGCTCAAGTTATCTGACTGCCTTGAAAGGAAGGCTCAGATAAAACTATGCTACTATGCTCATAGATTTTATGAATATGGGAATAAATGTGGCCGCCTTCTTGCCCGCTTCCTCCATACAAAGCAGGCACTCTCCCATGTACATAAACTGACTGTTCAGGACAAACAGGTGGTAGACTTAGATCGCATTGCTGCAGCTTTCCATTCTTATTATAGGCCACTTTACATACTTAAATCCCAACCTGACCTGTCCCGAGCAGAGAACCATGATAAGACAATACTTGCAAGAAGAGGAGTTTCCTGATCTTCCTAAAGAGATAGCGGGCACCTTTGAACACCCTTTTACACCTCTAGAGCTGACTTCAATCATACCAGAGTTCCCCAAGGGGAAAAGCCCGGGCCCAGATGGCTTTTCTAACGCTTATTATTATTATAAGAGAATGGTTCATATTCTAGCTGGACCCATGTGCAATTACTTTAATGCTACTACTTCCTCTAACCCTTTAGCCAAGGAAGTTCTACTTGTCCATATCATTGTCACAGCAAAACCTGGAAAGGACCCCACGTATTGCAAGAACTATCGCCCTATCTCTCATCAAAATTCTGTCCAAAATTATAGCCACCAGACTACAGATCTCCTTCCTACGATCGCCCTCCCTGATCAAAGGGGTTTCAGAGTCGGTAGGGAGGCTAGGGATAATACAATTCGGGAGCTTAATATTCTCCATTGGACCCTACACGGCCCACAATTCCCCTTCCTTATCTTGTCAACCAATGCCAGAAAGGCTGGAAAATGATGGAGTGGATCCCGGCCCTTTATAGCAACCCAGAATCTAGAGTGAAAGTGAATGGTACTTTTCTCCGACCCATTAGACATCCACAATGGTACCAGACAGGGATGCTCCCTATCCTCATTTCTCTTTGCCTTGGTGTTAAAACCGCTCCTACAGAAAATCAGGGAAAATTATGATATTACTGTAAAGGGGTATTTATTGGGTCTAGAGTTCATAAATTGTCTGCCTGCGCTGATGACATTCTATTCTATGTATCCCAGCCATTTACCACCCTTTCGATTCTGATGTCAGAATTACACAGATATGGCCACCTCTCTAACATTAGTATTAATTATGGAAAACCTGAGATCCTCCCCGTCATGATTTCACTGGACCTTATATACCAACTTAAGACTAATTACTAGTTTACCTGGAGGTCACATACACTGCTTTATATAGGTACTCATATTTCCCCGGACCCCAAATTATTGTACTCTGCGACAGGGGAGGACTGACCATTCAGGCATTCGGGCATTCCCTGAGGGCCCTGGGTCAGTAGGGGGCCCAGTGAGAGGCTCACTAGGCACAATTCACTAAGTGCTATCTTACCGCATCCGAATATGTGGTAGGATACCGCATAGCATTAAAAAGAAAAACGTATGAGTTCACCAAAAAAAGCTACTAAAATACTGCATGCGTTATTTTATCAAGTCATGTGGTATTTTAGTAGTGAAAACCATGCATTAATGTTTCAGCTGTCAGCAGGGTTCCCCACTGGAAAAGAAAGAAAGAATTGCCGACAATAAAAAAAAAATTATTAAAAAAATGATTTAAAAAATTATTAAAAAAACATTTGTGGGGTCCCCCCTCCATCCATACTAAGTCCTTTGGGTCTGGTATGGATTTTGACAGGAATCCCCACGCCAAAATAAAAAAAAAAAATGGCATGAGAGTCCCCCCCCAAAATCCATACCAGACCCTTATCCGAGCATGCAGTCCATCAGGTCAGGAAAGGGGGAGGACGAGCGATTGCCCCCCCCCTCCTAAACCATACCAGGCCGCAAGCACTCAACATGGGGGGGTGCTTTGGGGCGGGGGGCTCCCCCCTAAAGCACCTTGTCCCCATGTTGATGGGAAAAGGGCCTCTTCCCCACAACCCCGGAACCCCCCCCCCCCCCCAAATTGAGGGCATGTGGTCTGGTATGGTTCCTGACCTGCCAGGCTGTATGCTTGGATAAAGGTCTGGTATGGATCTTGGGGGGGACCCACATTCCATTTTTGTTTAAATTTTGGCATGGGGGGTTTCCCTCAAAACCCATACCAGACCTGAAGGGCTTGGTATGAATGAAGGGGGAACCCCACGATGTTGGATGGTTTATTTTTTTTAACACAAGGGGCCCCATTATCTCTTATTGCCCGGGGGCCCCATGAGCTGTCAGTCCACCCCTGCTCTGCGAACTATGGAACACAGAAAGGGATCTACGAGCATGGCAAAACACTGCCCTCATACGGATGGGATACATCAGTACAATTAAAATGTCGATCCTGCCTAAAATGTTGTATTTGTTATCTACGGTCCCCCTACGCTTACCGCCTGTATTCTTTTGTCGCTTACGCCAGTTGTTTACTATATTTATATGGCGGGGGGAAAGCAGCCTAGATTAGCATACTTGGTCCTTTGTAGACGCAAAGAAGATGGAGGTTTGAATTTTTTGTTGCTATTCTGTCTCTCAGTGTTACAATACACCTACCAATCGATTTTTAGACTGATCCTTTCTTTGTGAGTTGGCAAACATTCAAAACCAGCAGGGGATCAAATACTTATTTCATTCACTGTATAGCACATTATGGGCCCTAGATAGAGCTGACAATATAAGAATTAATCTATTAGAAAAATATGGTGACATTTCATCCAGCTTACACGCATGCCTCTGACATTTGACAGATATCCACTTGTTGAGGGTGTGAGAATCACATCTGTTCATTCATTCTGAATGGCACCCCCATATATATCAGCCCACAGCGTGTTTGCAGATGCTGGAATCGCAGGTAAATCACATGGTCAAAAAGACCATGTGATTTCCCTGTGGCCACGTTTTTTAAAAAGTTGCATGCACCTTTTTTTCTGTGGAAAATGCAGTAACAATAGCCCATTCAAACAAGTGTGAACCAGGGCTGAAGGAATTATGGAAGGGGTAGGCAGCTGATCTGAGTCTGAAGAGGGGCTGATCTGCGGTCTAAAGGGGAGTTTAAGGAGGGACTAAGGCTTGCTTCACACCTATGCTTTTTGCTTTTGATCCATTTTATAATGCTTTTTGCATTGTGCTTTGATTTTCTTCCATGTGTGTTTTTGCTGCGTTTTTACATTTTGTTTTTTTTTTTTTAACTTTTTTTGTTAAAGTGGAATTTTTTTTTGTTACTGGTCAGAAAAAAAAAACAAAACACAGAAAAAATGCACTACATGCATTTCAGCAGCTTCTCCATTGAGGTGTATCGTAGCAAAAACGCTGCTTTTTGCGTTTAAAGTGATACTAAAGGTTATTTTTTTTTTTTGTAAAGTAACAAACATGTTATACTTACCTGCTCTGTGCAGTGGTTTTGCACACAGCAGCCTGGATCCCCCCCTCTTCTCCCCCGCAGCCTCTCCTGGCTTCTACTTTCTGTCAGGTGCCCCCATAGCAAGCAGCTACTGAGGATACGTGGGCACTAATAACAGCATGTTCTGTAGATGGATGGTCTCCTACATTTGCTGTGTGCTAGCTGCCAGTCAGAGGAGATTGGCAACACTGTACCCTGATGTGTCAGTTAGATCTATATGACACCTGAGTGCTGTAGACCTGTTTGTAATAAATGTTGTCAGTTATAAACATACCAAAGGAAGTAAGTGTTTACCATCACTTTACACAACCAAAACCCAGAGGATAGTAATTTCATCACTGGCTGGGAGCTCAGAGTGAGGCTTGGGTAAGGAAGAGTCCAGCAGAGTAGCTCAGACTGAGGCTTAGATAAGGAGGAGCCCAGCAGTGGAGCTCAGACTGAGGCTTGGCTAAGGAAGATCCCAGCTGTGGAGCTCAGAGTGAGGCTTGGCTAAGGAAGAGCCCAGCTGTGGAGCTCAGAGTGAGGCTTGGTTTCCTGAAACAGACACACACAGGGGATCGGTGCCACGGCGGACACACGGCACGTTGTCTTGTTTACATTTGGAAATAGTCGGTGCCCGTAGGAACCTGCAGAAGTGTGAGAATTGTCTGCTGCTGTCGGTGGTACATTGTTGTTTGTTTTCTTGGTACAATAATGTGCTTTTGTGTTCTCACAGGGAAGGGAAGCTTGCTAAAACGTCTCTGCTGTTGTCTCCGAGTTCACCAAAACAATGGAATCTGCAGAGGATCTGTTTGAAGACATCGTCATGTGTGAGGAAAGGTGAGTGATATGGAGAGGATTGTTGATTCATATCTGTTCTGCCTGTGTAGGAATTGCTGGTCAGATTCACACTCCTGCAGTGTCAGCACATGTACCTTATGTTAAAGTGTTTGTAAAGGTAACTTTTAAAAAACAAGCATGTTATCTGTACCTGTTCTGTGCAGTTTTTGCACAAAGCAGCACCAAACCTTCTCTTCTGGGGTCCCCAAACGGCACCCTCAGTTCCTCTTCTAGGTGCGCCGTCATAGGAAACTTCTTGCTATGGTGGCACACCTGTGAGTTCAATTCCAAACCAGGCTGTGTGCATCTGTTGACACACACAGCATGGCTGAGCCCCACCCCCTTCTCACAGAATTTGATCGATAGTAGCGGGAGCCAATGACTCCCATGGCTGCCTCTGGGAGCAGAGCGGTGCCGGATCGAGATAGGATTCCGGTAAATATAAAGAGGAATGAGGGGGCAATACAAACACTGGGTCATTTTTTTACCTTAACAACTTGCCCTCCAGAGGATCCACCCCCCCCCTTCCTGACCAGGCCATTTTTTGCATTATGACGCTGCATTACTTTAACTGACAATTGCGCGCGGTCATGCAACACTGCACCCAAATGAAATTTACGTCCTTTTTCCCCTACAAATAGAGCTTTCTTTTGGTGGTATTTGATTGCCTGAGCGCTTTTATTTTTTGTGCTTTAACCACTTCCTGCCCAGCCTATAGTAAAATGATGGCCAGACGGGACTTTCATCGATCCGCAAGGGCGTCATATGGCGTCCTTCCTGGATCGCATCTTGCGTGTGCCCGCAGGGCTGCACTGTGGCCAGATCTGTGTACTGGCCCCATTGCAAGTACCATGTGACCTGCTGTGATCAATCACAGCAGGTCACATGACAGTTATAAACAATGGATGGCTTCCTTTCATGCCATACAAGTGTGTCTAGCTGTGAATGGTCACAGTGATCATTTGCACAGGCTGGGCCAATCACAACCCATCTGTGTCATGTGATTAGCCGTGGCCAATCATAGCTAATCACAACAAAAAAACCTGAATGAATCGATTGTATTCAGTTAAATGCTTGCTTATAGCAATGCTTTACTGCATATACAGACTGATTGTACTGTTGTGGGTTTATTAACACTTTTAAAGTGATTATAAAGGCAGATTTTTTTTTTTGTTATGCCATATTTACCTGCTCTGTGAAATGGTTTTGCACAGAGCAGCCCCGATCCTCCTCTTCTCAGGTCCCCCACCGGCGCTCCTCGCCCCTCCCTCTTGCCAAGTGTCCCCACAGCAAGCAGCTTGCTATGGGGGCTCCCAAACCGCTGCTTTGTGTTTCCATTCTCACACAGATGTGGCTTGGACCCACCCATGATCTCTCATCATTGGCTTACTGGCTGTGATTAACAGTAGCGGGAGCCAATGGCTGTCTCAGCCAATGAGGGGGGAGGGTCCCGGGAGAGACGTTGCTTTTGTGCACATTGCTGGATCGGGATGGGACTCAGGTAAGTATTTAGGGGTCTGCTGCACACACAGAATTTTTTTTTTACCATCATGCACAGAATGCATGAAGGTAAAAAACCTTAAGTCTTTACAACAATTTTAATGCAGGGAAAGTTCACCTTTTTGGACAAAAATAATAAGTGCACATTTTTTTGCAGGTAAAAAAAAATTTATTATTTTGTCCAAAAGAGTCTGGAAAGCATTGCACCAGAGACCACCAACGGAAGTCTGTGAATGAACGACGCGGCCGTGTGGGGCGAAGCTACTCCCCGTATTATCTGTCGGGGGTTGGGGGGGCGGCGGGCTGCTGCTGCTGCAGCTATGGGAACATGTTACATGTTCCACCCTAAAAATGGGTGGAACATGTAACATGTTTCCAAATGTGACCTTCTCTTTTAAGGTAAAAAGAAGTCCAGGCTTTAGAACCCCTTTAAGGCAGCTCATTCCTTTGAATTGATTGCCTAGCACACCAAAATGCACAAAAAAAGTGCATATAGCATTTTTGACAACAGAGTACAACAGTTCAAGCCTTTTTTTTTTTTTTCATACTCCAATTAGTTGTGGGCTGGGTCATTCCCAACCCACAGTACACAGGGTTGCAGGGCAAAAATGACACATCTTGTAGCTGTTTGGAGTAAAAAAAAAACGCCAGCCCAAAAGAAGGCATTAAGGTGGTGAGACTGTAACCTGATAACTCATATTTTTGTAGCAACAAAACCGACAATTGTGAAAGTATGGCAGTCCCTGGCTCTCAGTTTTTGTCAAAGTGAAAAGTCGGGTGGATGGCACATTGGTAAATGAGAAACTTATATTGATATTGACCAAAATGAACAACAGATTTTTGCGCATTTGGCAGCCTTGGTTGGAGCAGTTTCCGTTTACGCAACCATCTACACATTGTAGGTGCATTCCCACTCTGAGAAACAGAATTAAAAAAAAAAATTCAGGAAATCACATTGTATGATTTTTAAAGAATTTATTTGTCTTGCACTGCTGAACATTAGTATTTGAACACCTAAGAAACAGCAAAAATTCTGGCTCTCAAAGACCTGTTACTGTGTTTTTAAAAAGTCCACCTCTACTCCACTCATTAATCTAACTTAGTAGCACCTGTCTGAGCTCTTTAAAGACACCTGTCCACCCCACAGTCAGTCAGATGCCAACTACTACCATGGGCAAGACCAAAGAGCTGTCAAAAGACACCACAGACAAAAGTGTGGACCTCCACAAGGCTGGAAAGGGCTACGGGGCAATTGCCAAGCAGATTGGTGAAAATAGATCAACTGTTGGAGCAATTGTTAGAAAATGGAAGAGGCTAAAGACGACTGTCAGTCTCCCTCGGAACTGGGGCTCCATGCAAGATATCACCTCGTGGGGTATCACTGATGATAAGAAAGGTGAGGAATCAGCCCAGAACTACAAGGGAGGAGCTGGTCAATGATATAAAGAGAGCTGGGACCACAGTTTCAAAGGTCACTGTTGGTAGAACACTACGCCGTCATGGTTTCAAATGATGCATTGCACGGAAGGTTCCCCTGCTCAAGTCATCACATGTCCAGGCCCGGCTGAAGTTTGCCAATGACCATCTGGATTATCCAGAGGAGGTATGGGGAGAAAGTCATGTTGTCAGATGAGACCAAAGTAGAACTTTTTGGTCTAAACTTCACTTGTCATGTTTGGAGGAAAAAGGATGAGTTGCATCCCAAGAACACCATCCCTACTGTGAAGCATGGGGGTTGTAACATCATGCTTTGGGGGTGCTTTTCTGCGAAGGGGACATGAGGACTGCACTGTATTAAGGAGAGGATGAATGGGGCCATTTATTTTGATTTTGAGTAACAACCTCCTTCTCTCAGTCAGAGCATTGAAGATGGGTCGTGGCTGGGTCTTCCAACATGACAACGACCGGAAAACACACAGCCAGGATAACCAAGGAGTGGCTCCGTAAGAAGCATATCAAGGTTCTGGAGTGGCCTAGCCAGTCTCCAGACCTAAATCCAATAGAACATCTTTGGAGGGAGCTGAAACTCCGTGTTGCTCAGCGACAGCCCCGAAACCTGACAGATCTAGAGGAGATCTGTGTGGAGGAGTGGGCCAAAATCCCTGTTGCAGTGCAAACCTGGTCAAGAACTACAGGAAACGTTTGACCTCTGTAATTGCAAACAAAGGCTTCTGTACCAAATATTAACACTGATTTTCTCAGGTGTTCAAATACTTATGTTCAGCAGTGCAAGACAAATTCTTTGAAAATCATACAATGTGATTTCCTGAATTTTTTTTTTTAAATTCTGTCTCTCAGAGTGGGAATGCACCTACAATGTGAATTTCAGACCCCTCCATGCTTGCTAAGTGGGAGAACTTGCAAAATCGCAGGGTGTTCAAATACTTCTGTTCCTCGCTGTAGCTTTATTCATATAGTTAGTGGTATTACACCCCGGCCACATCAGGTGCGACTTGGCCTGCGATTTTGCATGCCATGCCACTTGCAAATTATATGCCAAGTTGCATCCTATTGTCCAATATTAGAGCGGTTCTATCGGTGCGGTTCTGACTTGGTCGGGAGCCGCAACGATTTCTAAAGTAGTGCATGCACTACTTTTGTTGCGATTTGTATAGACATCTGTGTCAGATGTCTTGCAAATCGCAACTGAAATTGGCAGGTCACCCAATATTGGTATAGTGAGACTTCACTGTAAGTCTCATGATTTCAAAATCGGCTTTGATGTGACCGGGGGCATAAACCCAAAAACAAAGAGAATATACTGCAGTTTGCCAATCTGTAAGTGTGGTTGCTACATTAGTTTTCTTTTTTAAAGTGGTTCTGAAAATTGAAGGTTGTCACAGCCAGCATGGAGGGAGCGGGGGCAAGGCTGAGTGCCTTGCTATGGGGGAGCCAGGAGCGCTAGCAGAGGGGGATCAAGAAGAGGGGTCGGGGCTGCTCTGTGTAAAACCATCACACAGAGCATGTAAGTATAATGTTTGTTATTTAAAAAAAAAATATGGGGTTAGTTTTTTTTTTTATATTTTATTATTATTTAGTCTATTGCCAACTGGTGATCTTGCCAGTAACACATCTCCTTCCCATGACTCAGTGACATTTGTCACCAAATCATGTGAATATTTTCGTTCTATTTCGATGACGTCTAACATTCTGGATTTCCAATCATTTTCTTTCTCTATGATATTGGTCACCGGATAGAGAAGGTGAATCTTCTTAGCAGGGGCACAGCAATACAAACTAAAAAGACTATTTGTTAAAAACTGGAGGCAAGAAAATAAGAGATCCATAATCTTCCTCTGCATGGCCTGGTGTAGAATGGAATAGAATGGTGTTTGATGGCAGGATAAGTGTTTTACTTTACACTACACATGGAGATCTATTATTCTCTATTTTTGTTTAATGAGTACATATGAATGAGTAGTCTCCAAATTTAGTTGTAGGTCACAGCTCCAGTTTCTGTAAGTCAGTCCCGCATGACACCTCACTACCATGGACAGACA